CTAAGGAAGCACAATCATTTGCAAGCACTACCCTTAACAGTTGTTTGGAAGGGAAATTCATTTTTAATTAAGCAATCTCAATCGTTCAATTTTTAATATTGCCAATCTTAGTTTATTTCAAATCCAACAAATTTAAGTAAAATATATTTTGATGAAACAACTAAAATCGCGGTTAAACCAATAAATCAGTCAAATTGAAAACGATTTAGTCTAATCGGCTAACTCAAAAGACCAACCAATTTACAACAAAATTAATTAATTAAAATTTTTAAATTTTATTTTAAAATTTAAACCATCTTGAACTGAAAATGCACAATACTATAATATTAAATGAGAGTATAAGATTCACTTTATATAAGTAAAACAACTCGCTTTTTCTTTCTTTTCTCGATGTGGGATTGTAAATAATTTAAAATTAAAATTATGAGATTTTCAAAATCTTATACAAAATTATTTTTAAAATCAAAACCTCTATGTGGGATTGTAGAATAAAAGTTAACCAATAGAGATTTTCTTAATTGTTTAAAAATAAGAAAATAAAAAAAAAAAATTGATATTCATTATAGGGCTTCTTACTAAAAATAAAAGTGAAACAATTCACTTTATATAAGTGAAACAATTCACGTAACATAAGATTCACTTGATATAAGTGAAACAATTCACTTTTTCCTTTTTTTCCCGATATGAGATTGTAAAATAAAATTTGAATGGAAGCTAACCAACAAGATTTTCTTAATTGTTTAAAATTAAGAAAATTCAATAATTTATATAAATTGGAGTATAAGATTCACTTTATGTAAATGAAATAATTCATTGTTTCCTTTTTTTACTAATGTGGAATTGTAAAATAAAAAGTAAATAAAAACTAGCCAATGTAAATTTTCTTAATTGTTTAAAATTAAGAAAATTCAATAATTTTAGAATAAGAGTTTGGAGTTTCTAGAAGGTTTCTCCCTCAAAAACCCCATTTATAAGATTTACTTTATATAAGTGAAACAACGCATTTTTTTTCTTCTTTTTTTCCCGATGTGGGATTGTAACACTTTATATAAGTGAAACAACTCATTTTTTCTTTTTTTTCTTGATGTGTGATTGTAATTTTTTTAAAGTAAAATATTATGAAAGTTTCAAAATCTTATACAAAATTATTTTTAAAATCAAAATGTCTATATGAGATTATAAAATAAAAGTTAAATAAAAACTAGCCAATGGAGATTTTCTTAATTGTTTAAAATTAAGAAAATCAACAAAATGAGTATGATATATTTATTATAGGGTTTCTCACTCAAAATCTCTTGTTGCTTATATAAATTAGTTTAATTCGAATTTAATCAATATATTTTGATAAAATAGCTAAAATTGTGGTTCAACCAATGAATCAATCAAATAAAAAATGATTTAGCCTAATCGGTTAGGTTATGATTAATTAATTAAAACTTTTAAAATTTAAACTATATTGAATTGAACATACACAACACTACTATATTAAATGGGATGGGAGTATAAGTAAAACAACTCATTTTTTTCTTATTTTTTCGATGTGGGATTATCAAATGAAAGCTAACCAATGGAGATTTTCTTAATCGTTTAAAATTAAGAAAATCAAGAAAATTAGTATAAGATATTGAAACTCTTACAAGGCTTTTCACTAAATGGGATGAGAGTACAAGATTTACTTTATATGAGTAAAACAACTCATTTTTTTCTTTTTTTTTTTTTTCCGATGTGGAATTATCAAATAAAAGTTGGCCAATGGAGATTTTTTTAATTGTTTAAAATTAAGAAAATTAGTATGAGATATTAGAAGTCTTAAAATGCTCCTTACTAAAAACTCTCTTTTCCTTATATAATATATAGATAGATAGATAGATAGATAAATAGATAGATAATGAAACAAACTTTGCTTTTGCTTCTTCTTCCGATGTGAGATTATAAAATAAATTATAAACCAATTAGAGTTTTATTTTTATATGGTTAAATGGAAGTTAGTCAATGGAATTTTTTTTAATTGTTTAAATTTAAGGAAATCAATATGAGAAATCGTGATTAAACCGCCGAATCTATCAAATGACCAACCAACTTATACAAAAATTAATTAATTAAAACTTTTAAATGTTATTTTAATTTTAAAATTTAAACTGTCTTGAATTGAAGTATTCACAATACTACACTATTAAGATTCACCTTATATAAGTGAAATAATTCACTTTTTTTTTTCTTTTCCCCCGATGTTGGATTATAAAATAAAAGTTAATAATTATTTGAATGAAAATCTCAGTTTTTCAATCTTTAATCAGATTAACCTTTAATTTATTTCGAATCAAACAAATCTAATCAATATATTTTGATAAAACCGCTAAAATTGTGGTTAAACCAACAAATCAATCAAATCAAAAATGATTTAGCCTAATCGGCTAGGTTAGAATTAATTAATTAAAACTTTAAAAATTTAAACTATATTAAATTGAAACATGCACAATACTACAATATTAAATGGGATAAGAGTATAAGATTCACTTTATATGAGTAAAATAAATCATTTTTTCCTCTTCTTTTCCTGATGTGGGATTATCAAATAAAAATTAGTCAATGGAGATTTTCTTAATTATTTAAAATTAAGAAAATCAAAAAAATCAGTATGAGATATTGAAACTCTCACAATGCTCTTCACTAAATGGGATGGGAGTATAAGATTCTCTTTATATGAGTAAAACAATTTCCTTTTTTTCCCGATGTAGGATTATCAAACAAAAGCTAACCAATAGAAATTTTCTTAATTATTTAAAATTAAGAAAATCAAAAAAATTAGTATGAGATATTACAGCTCTCACAATGCTCTTCAATAAAAACACTACTTTCCTAATATAATATATAGATAGATGGATAGATATAAATTGGTGATACTATATTATCGGCATCACCATTACACTGAAATTTTATTTTTATTGAGCAAGGGAGGAGAGAGGAGATGAAAAAAAGGGTTGGCCTAGGCCAGAAGCCCACAAAGAAACTGCTTCGGGCCCTAAACAATAAGCCCAAAATTACCTTCAATGGCTTCTGGACAGTTACTTAATTTCAACTAGTTGGTAAGAAACCATGCAGGGAAAGAAACAAAGGGCTGGCTTTCTTTTTGTCCGTGATCAGATTGGAGGGTATTGTTGGACCCGTGAAGGTTTATCATAGGTCCCGTTTCCATAATCCATACCGTTTAATGTGTAAAATTCGTCGAGTACTATATGTCTATAAAAAATCACGTTGATCGGATATCGATAATTATCTCATTAGGTCAGATTTCTGTCAACCGTTTATTTTTTATCATTCATGTTTTTTTATACAAAACTGATTTAATCACATAGCTATTAATATTCGATCAACGTGATTATTTACAAACATATAGTACTCGACGAGTTCTATATATTGAACTGTTTAGATTGTTAAAACGGGACCTGTGGTGGGCCTCCACAGGCCTAACAGTACCCTCTAGTCCGATCATGGACAGGTGAACGCAGCTTTATTGCTTGTGCTTTGTTTTTCTTCTTCGTTTTGTGTTTCTTTATGGGACGACTAATAATTGGGTTTTGATTGATTAGTTAAAACGAAATTGAATGCGTTTGAACTTTTTAATTCAAATCATTGCAACGAACTGTAAGTTGTCGCATTTATGATGTTTGATAAAACGCCTGAGAGACACGGGGCTAACTTGAACTTGAAATTGGTTCGACCTTTTTTTTGTTTTTGTTTGTTCCCATTCACTTTGAAATTCCTGTGTAATTAATCGTGAAATTGAACTGAGAACTGGGTTAGAGAAGAAGGTGTACAATGATCAATTTGGGAATTGGGTTTCCAAGTTTTCGAACTTGTCAGCCTTTGGTCCTTGTTATGCATAACATGAACTTCAAAATTTGCGTAGTGATAAGAAAATATATCCATGTATGATGTGCATTGCTTTGTATTATCACTACGAAGTGGAGATGTAGATTAAATTCTGCCCCATGACATGTATATAATATACTTAAAAAGAAACATGTCTGTGTATGCATTCATATCAATAGACATGATTTATTATAAAGGGTTAATTATAGGTTAATAATACCAAGACTTTTTAAGTATTAGTGAATATCACTCTATCCCTCGTATATAAATCCATACACTTGAAAATCGTAAAAATACCCCTTTTTGGAGTGTGGAACCACGTAAGTGATTCATTTTTATAGTTGAAGGGATCAACTAATAGTTAAAAGAGTCTTGATGTAATTAACTCTGTGATAAATGGCATAAGACAAAACCCACTGGAGCATTATTGCTTGAACATTGAATCTCTTTCAAGGTTTCACAACTTGGTACGAGTGTGCTTAAGATTTTCTGATTTGAATTTATCGTGTTGTAGGACAGAAATGGACTGTATCTGATAAGAAAAGGTGCAGAGATTTGAGGAATTTGTAAATCGTCGCTTAAAACTAGACCTTGTTTGCGCTATTGCTGAAAGGTACATTTTCCAAATTTTCCATTCTTTTATTTATTACTGATTGTCCACCCTCCATGGAACTGGCAAGGAGAGTCAGGATATCTTCTTTTGCTGGACTAGGAGGACATTTTTTAATTGTAAAAGGAATAATTTGTTATATCTCAATGAGGCAAAATAATTATGCATATGCGGAATAAATAGTGAAGAATAATTATGTGGGATCATAACATGCCACTACGTTATGTAGTCGACGTTCACAACAACCTACTCTATTGACATTGACCCAATGGTAGCGCTTCACTCCCCAAGCAGGTATTATAATCTAGTTTATAGGCTCGAACCGCAAAGCCACAACCCACGGAATCCCATACTTGCATAGGTTATGCTACAATCATCAATTAACAGTTGGCTTGTCATATGAATATAAGTTTCTTGGGTACTCTCCCTTACAAGCCGGTTTTGAAAGACGATGTACATTGAAAATTGAATTATAGTCACTATAATCAGAATTTATTATTGTTTTCCACTGGCTTAAGATATGTCATCACTAATATATTAAAAAAAAAATTTGGTATGAAAATTAAAATTACATCTCATTTGTTGCTTGATGCAAATCAGCAAGTCTCACCTAGGATGCCATAAAAATTGTCAAACAACTAATGGGAAGAACAACTGATTTAGGACTAACCCATTTTATCCACTAAATAACATAGCAATAGGAGGGAGATCAAGAGATCTCCATAGTGACCATTCACCTCCTTCATTACTTGAAGAAGAAGAAGAAGAACCTATTACAGTTGAATTCTGTTGGCTTCCCTCCTCTTCTTGTACTGCCACTCGCGAATTGCCTTCATTTTCTTCCTCATTCTTTCTCTCTTGATCTTGATCATTGTCACTACATTCTTGTCCAAGTTTGGACAACTTTACTTCACCCCTCTCTCCATTTTCTGATCCAAGTTTGAGTTTCAAACACTCTGATATCCCATTGAATGCATAAAGAGAGGCTGAGAATTTACGCTCATACTTCATCCTCTTCATGGCTTCGGTTAGCACAGATGGCTCCTCCTCTTCCCCACCATAACTCTCCTGCTCCTCCACCATCTCTTCCGCAATCTCAAATGGCGAATAATAGCAAGAAGATCTAACATCATCCACAAAATGAAAATCCACGATCCCAACATCAACGTCTTCTCCTCCCATTTCGTGCTCATCGACACTCGCTTGTTGATGATGATCAATACTGGTACGTTTATTATCTCCCGGTACCTCGAATTCATTTGATTCAATACTTGCATTGATCAAGCAACTATCACTAGTACAAGTAGTAGTGATGTTGATACTAGAATTGTTAATTTCACTTTCTTCATTTATGGAATTAGTAGTAGTAGTAGTAGTACTAATATTGGGCATGTTGTTGAAGAAATTATCAAATTGCTTGTCTTCCTGACTCTGTAATATTTGGTTAGCGTGCGAAGAACAAGAATCGAAAGTTGAAGAAGCACTACTACTAGCATTGTTTTGAGCTTTGAGCCTATGGAGAAGAAGGTTTGTGATTTTCGAGGGGAGAGCAGGAGAGGAATTGGAAGACGGCGAACAAGGCCAAAAATTGGTACGAGTGTTGGATCCACGAAGCAAGCAAGCCGCCTCATCGTAGGCCCTTGCTGCTTGCTCAGCGGTGTCGAATGTTCCCAACCATACCCTAATCTTTTGGATGGTGTCTTTGATCTCTGCCACCCACCGCCCTGATGGCCTCTGCCGCACACCGACGTAGCGTTTGCGAGCTCTCCGGGGCCCACCAAGAAGTGCAGCAGCCTCAGTGTTCATCAGCTGATCCCAACCCATGTTTCCATTTCCATCAATGTTTTTTTCTTTCTCCTCTTCCCCTTCCTCTACTTGTCTCTTCCTCACCATATTTTTTTTCCTTACCTTTTGCTTTCAATGTTGTTGTTGAAGTAGGTGAGAATTTTATGAAAGTAGCACTTTTTTGATTTGATTGTCTTGTGTTGTGTGTGTATCAACATTTATATACTGTCTCTATATATATGAATTGATGAGAGTGGGGTTTAGGATATTCTACCAAATCAGAGAGGAGCATAGTAACAGGTTTTTGTTGCAATCTCTTTGTTCTTTCTATTGGCTTCGGTTATGCCACTTACCCATATGAAGTTGTTTTTTGGATTAATTACATGAAGACCCCTTAATTATTAGAGAATATTACTTTGCCTTCTCATTTATAAATTTGTGCATTTTGACTTTCTCAACTTTAAAAATATGCTACTTTTACTCTAGATCAATTCCAAAAAGAATAATTTCATGTATACTGACAATCTTACTAAAAATACAAGAGGCTCAATGTGATTGGTTATAAAAAAAAAAGTTAATGATATTTAAACTTCCAATGTTGTTTTGATATGTACATTTTTAATGAGACTGAGGCTTCGTTTGGGAAATTGCTATTTTAGTAGGCTATTTTAGTTTTTGGCTATTTTAGTAGGCTAAAATTTTTGTGTTTGGAAAGATGATTGGATTTTTTTGTGGTTGGATGTGATGTTTGTGAGAGAAAAAGTAAAATAATTATGAGTTTGATGTGATATTTTGTCTTATTAGCTATTTTAACCTATTTTGTCTTTTTGTGAATTTAAGCCTAAACTAGGCTATTTTTTTTCTTGCCAAACACCCCCTGAAAATTTAAATAGATGTAGTATCACTCAAAATATATATATTTGGTTGAGATCCATTTTGAATGTTATGTGAATCATATTTTAAATTCTAAACCACATAGTAGATTTTCTTGCACTTATGTAGTTTAATTTTGTCCACGTAGCAAAACTGAAGACTACCAAGCTGTCAGCAATGGAGATGCAATGCAAAACATCATGGACAGATCTATGGATATTCCTCTCATTTTGTTAACCTCAATATTTCGAAGTCTTTTAACTTTTTTATGGCAATTGTCATTATTTGTGCTCCACAATGGTCACAAAAATTCAGGAGAAATAAGAAAAATTAAACAAAAGGAGAAGTGAAAAAATTAAGGACAAACCAAGAGTTCACATATGGTTAATTTGATGGTGAAAAGTTAATACATTCCAACATTGGCCTAGTTAGAATAAACTGAAAAATGAAATATATATATATATATATATAGGAGTGTTTGTGGTTTTGATACACTTGGATTGGAAGGAGATTACAATGGTTAGAGGATGTGATCTCACTTACACCATATTATTATTTTATTTGCCTAACAAAGATAAAAATGTCTATGTGCACAAAAATGAAACTAAACACAAAATGTACAAATGTGAGGTAAATATTCGTCAATATAGATGTAAATATATTAACAATTACAGATATAAATATTTTTTTTATCTCATATATGTATATTCTTTATTCGATTCTTTCTATGATTGAAAAAAGATATTAAAACCTCAATTTCATAAAATAATAATAAAATTTATTAGAAGTGTGTAAGCCTCAGTGGCATGAGACGCAGCAAAGGAAGAGACAAAGTGGTAGAAAATGCACAACCTTCCTTTTTATGTTTTATGTGTTGTTTCTTTTACACCTTGTAATTACCACCACTAAAATGGCATATACTATGCTTAATTGCTGTTTATTTATTTTAAAACTTAAAAAAAATTAATATGCATTCATCTTGTTTAGAGCATCTCCAACCCACTAGGCATATGATGCTTGTTAGTCAAAATGCCTAATATGACTCACTTTTTTCAACTCCAATGCACTAGGCATATGCTTAGGCATTTTGGCTCAGCTCACATTCACTAGCTACATGTAGCTAGCCTTCAAGGCTAGGCAAAATGTATTTAATCATTAAGATTATTTCCCTCCATCTTTGTTGCTGACGTGGCATTCTATAAAGTTAATAGTATTTGGATGAATAGCTAAAATAAAGAGTATGGTTGGGGTAGAAACATAAAATTGTTAACAGGCAAAATAAAATATATACTTTATAGTAATATTTAGATAGGTAAATCAATGGAGCACAAGGGACCCACTTGATTTGACGTGGGCAAAGCAATGAAGGGTAATTATTAGATATTTTCAAAATCATCATGTCACATTGTTTATTTGATGCTTTAAATTAATGGTGTAACCATAAATTTTACGAATAAAATAAGGAGACTCATTTGATATATATTGTGATTTTTTATATATTAAGAGTATCATATAAACAATGACACGTGATATTTTGATATTACTTAATAATTTTTCAGCAAAAAAATGTGGTAGAATTCATGAACGTGTACCATATATTCTTAGTGGTATTTAGGTCTCGTTTGACAACTATCAATTTTAATCACAAAGTCAGTATAAGTTGTCACTTCACTCGTTCTACTTTTTTGTATATCTTTTCGTAAAAAACTAAAAAATTACTAAAATAACTTGTTTCTAAACAAAACCTTACTAACAATTGTAGTGGTGTTTTGTTATGTAACATTGTGGTTTACCGTAACTCTCTGTCGAATTAAAATAGGGTGGGTCATGAGTTTGGTGATAATCTACCGTGATAATAGTTATGAATGAAATTGATGATTCATATTTATGTTTTTTTAAAATTTAATGGCTAAAAGTAGTGGTAAATATGACATATATAATTTTTCTAAAATGTGTATTGTTGTCTCCGTCAACAATATTGTACGAGCAAGAAATAACCTTCTCATATAATTCTGTTGATCAAGTCCGCGCTCCTCCAAACGTCGTCGCTTTACTCCCTGAAAACACAAACGTGAGCTAGCCGGCGGGTGTGTGCTGGATACCTCTCCGATGCCTAAGTCAGCAAAATAGACAAATAGGCAAAAACTCTGTGTATTTGAGAATCAAAGTTGTGTGTTACCTCTCCATAGGTGATGTTATGAGCTTTTATAGGTTCTGTGTGGCACAATCTTAGTAGGACTCTTACTCCTCCATGAAGAGTCCTCCTAGGAATCACATTCCTGAAAGATAATGCCTATCCTTCAATACCCCCCTCACTGCTTAAATCAAGTGAGATGGTTTTAACATGGTTTGATGTCAATACGACCGAGATAACATGGCCACGGTAAAGCCGCAGACTAGACCGAGCTCCAATTAGCTCGGTTCTTCCTTTCACTGTGCGTGTATCTCGGTTGACATATTCTAACTGGGTTGTTTGAAACCGTGCTATCCATAACGAGCTTGGACCGAGCTATCTAACAGCAAGGTCCTAAGTAGAAGCCAACAATACCTCGGCTCAAGATGGTTTGACCGAGCTAACTGTCACCGTGCCGACCGTGGTGGCCGAGCTAACCGCAAGGTTCTCTGGGACCGGGCTAACTGCAAGGCTCTCTGGGATCGGGCTAACTATCAGGCCCTTTTACTCAGTTCTTCTCACGATAGCCCATAGAACGGCCCATCACCTAGCTCGGCCCAATTTCCACATAAATTACCCTCTCAATTGCCCCTTAATTCCATCTGCCCAGCATGATAGGGATTACCTGTCACCAGCCGAGCTAAAAGTTTTAGCTTGTCTACCGAGCTAAGAAACCTTAGCTTTCCAACCGAACTAGAAACTTCAGCCTTCCAACCAAGCTAAACTCACACCGAGCTACTTTAATATGCCAGGTCAAAAAACGTCTCCTCAATCTTTGTAATTAAACTGCTTCTTATTCCAAGGACACATGACACATCCTTATTGGCCCAGTGTAGTTGTCACGCCGCCCTCGTACCTAGTGATATTTGAACAGTCCCGTCTAAAACTTGAGCTTTTCACCAAAACCCTACTTTTTGAATCATTTACTCGTACTATTCACCTTATTTTCTCTCTCTGAGTCTCCATTCCTGCTTGACCCTGCATTTTGCTGAGTTCATGTTTTCTGCTACCATTACTTTCATCTTTAGTACCCTCGCCTTGAACTGGTATGTTTGCTCAAACTAATTTCCTTTTTGTTGATTTCACACTTGTTTGCAGCATATAATATGCGTATTTGTATGTTTTTTGCAAAACACATATTCCATCTTTGCTTCCATTTTTCTGGGAAAAATCCATGTAGTAGAACCTCGAATAATCTGAGAAACATTGATTTTGATCCAAAATTACATTTCAACCGAACTAAAAATTTGTTTGCCTCAGTTGTATGCCTAGCTGCACCTAACAACCGCACTATAACTCCACACTATACTTGTAGTTTCCATAGGTTAGGTACCTTTAGCTTCATCTAACCGAGCAATCGAACCGTACTAGGTTTGCGCAATACCGTACTTAGAAAGCCTTAACCTCCGACCGAGTTACAACTTGGGGCTAAACCAGCTTCCTTAGTACAAACCGAACTAAGAATGCTGCCCCAAAGGCTCAACCGAGCTAAAAAGCCCCTTGCTCAAATCGAGCTAAGAACTAATAGTATCTTGTGTAGCCGAGCTAGGACTTCATTTATCTTGCCCTTGTTTTTTGTAGCATGGTCCAATGATCAGTGCTTAACACCTTTCTTTTTTTCTTTGCAGACTTAGGTTGGCCAGGCACTCATCTAATTGCTCAACCGAGCTACTAGGCGTCTTTTCTTGACCGAGCCAATCCTTCAGCTAATTTATTAATAATTTAATAATCAATGGGTAAATATAGATTTTTAGTAAACTCACCAGGGGCCATAGCCGAATTCCGTAAGGACTACCAAATTCCGGATGATGTCTACCTTTCACTAGCCGAACTAGACACCGTCCCCTGGGAAAAACAAGGCTTTGTCCCTTTTAACGTTATTTCCATCGTAGAGTGCGGTCTGCGATTCCCTGTACAACCCCTTCTTTGTGAATTCCTTAAACAAACCAAGCTCTGCCCTACCCAACTTTCCACCAATTCTTATCGCATAATAAACGGTATTGCCGAGCTAAACCGCCGGGCTGGCCTTAATCTCGGTCTAGCCGAGCTCTTCCATCAATACTCCATAGGATCGGTCGAAGATGGCTAGGTTTACTATTTAAGAATAAGGCGCCGGCGTGAAAAAATAATAAAGAACACCCCAGATAAAGACG